CCTCCAGGAGCATACAGGTCTTTGTGAGGAAGAAGCTGCAGAGTCTTCTGTGTGATATGAGTAAAAAAAAATATTCCTCAAACACTGTCTTCAGATAAGATTTAGTCAATAAACTAAGAAAGAGTGAGTTGTCCCAAGAGGCAAAAAGCTAGGTACTATTTTAAAAAAAGAGAAAAAAAAGAAAGATATTTTTCTAAGGTAGCTACTTGGGATATGCATGACATAAGATAAAAGAGAAGCTTTCTATTACTCATAAATATTCAGGTTTTGTCACATTCTTTTAACGATGGCAGCAAGAGAGGAATTCATGCTTGATTACTAAGTAAGGCCTTTGGGTAAAGGATCAAATGAAGCGCTTGTAAGAGTTTTTGTGTGTTTTTTAATTGAGCTACCTTTAGTTTACAAGACTAGGTTGAAAAGATGAGGTAGAAGAATAATGTTTTCTGTGCTTTTAGAGAAACTTTGTTATGTGCTTTGAACTAAATGAAATTACCAAAATATTGAATATTATTGAAGGGAGAGTCTAATGTACTTAATCCCACATAAACTCTTTTGTTCAATTAGGCCATAAATTGTGTTTTAAGCAACTACCATGCTTTCCTTTTTCCATGGAAAATAAACCTCATATGAATCACGCTCTCCATGGATTGTTCTGGGTGGTCTTGGGCAGATGTTGCAAGTCAGTTGGCACATCAGTCACCCCTGACCTAAATTAATCATTTAAATACCCTAGGCTGCCCATTAGGATGGAATAGTTTGGATGGAAGGTGATAGAAAAGTACCAAAAAATTGTGTTTTGTCTCTGATGAAATTGATAATTACTAATCTTTTAAGATATCAGAGGTATCATGGATGAAGTCTTTCCTTCATCCTAGGGCATTGTTGCATATCCATGCCCTTGATTTTATCTTTTTACACCCTGCACTACAGCGCCCTAGTGGGGCAATGGTTAGCCTACAGTAATGCAGGATAACTCTGCCCATAGCCTGGAGTTTGAACCTGACAGGGCCAAAGGTTGACTCAGCCTTCCATCCTTTTGAGGTTGATAAAATGAGGACCCAGATTGTTGAGGACAATATGCTAACATTATAAACTGCCCAGAGAGTGTTGCAAAGCACTATGGGATGGTATATAAGTCTAAGTGCTATTACTATTGCTATGAAGGGTTGTTCTCCGCAGTACAGCAGGATTTATTAATAGAAAATCTCAGTACATGCTAGAAACACGTACATTGAAACAGTGTTTTTTGTTGATTCTTATTGTATTATTTTTAATCCTTTTGCCATTTTACCTGGCAACATTTATTTAACTTTTGGGAATTTGTACATCACCAAAACATAGTTTCAATGTTAATATGGTTTAAGTAATATTTTATTCTTGAAATGTCCACTTTTTAAACTTAATATTGCTTCTGATAGTGCAGTTTTGATAGTATTATAATAGTGAAGCCATTTCTTTTCGATCATAAATAGCATCTTAGTAAAACAATGAATTTTTATATTGAGATCTACACAAGTGATCAAGAGTCTAATATGGTTTGCTTTAAAAACCGAACATTTTTACAGTACAGCAAATACATTTTATACATTTTTAAATCCCTCTTTTTTAGGAGCTACTACTTGACTGAAGAATGAAGGTGTTTAGTAACATTTCTTCCTTTTGGAAAAAAAAAAAGCACAAAGCAAAACCAAAATTGGCTAGGTGATGGGTAGGAGGGAAGGACTGGCTTTGCCCACCTAGAACATGGTTTTGGCAATTCATTGGAATCCTAAAATTCCCTGCTGAAAGTCCTTCTGTACATATGTTTGCTACTGCAGGACAAAAATAAGGTGGCATGGGAAATGAAATGCAATAAAGTTTTTAAAATGTTTAGACAGAAAAATCAGAAAATACAAATCTATCTCAAATGTTAGTGGTTCAAGTGCCAGTCTAATTTATGCCTTTTGAAAAACTTACCTTTTATATACATTTACAATTTTCTCTTGAGTAATCCTGACTCATACATGTATTGGGAATTAGGATTTGCCCGTAACAATAAGCTTAGCTAGAATTTGTTTTGCTTATTTTTAAATTTGAACATTTGAACTCACCCCCAGCAACAACCCATGGCTTATATGGCAACTAAGCACAATGTGAAATACCATGGTTCATTTTAATCAAGGCTTATTGTGATATTTAAACCCAGAATTCTGGCTTATTTGTAAATTGCTGCTTTTACGTTATCTGTCCAATGAATAAAAGGGCAAGGCAAGAACACCTATCTGACTCCTAAAACCCTTTCAAATACATATCCATAAATGCTCACACATACCACACAGACAAAATCACACCACAAAAATCCCCCAAACATACACCCTACACCAAAATACCTCACAAAAATGAAACAAACTAATAAAAATGCACAAGACTTCTAAACTATTAAAGAATCTCTCACACATAAAACCCAACAAAAATGACCCATACATAGGAAATCCCCCCACAACCTCACACAAAAACATGGTGAGCCCTGTAGCATTAAAAACAATTCAACAAACCATGTTAAGAGACCTGCTGGTTTAGTGTTATTCATGATTTAGCCATTACTTTTTGTTAACAATTTGCTTAATGATCCACTGTATATGGTTTGTTATACACCCTTATGAGATGTTTTATCCAGTCTGCACTTGGGGCTAGCTCACTTTGTATTTAGGTCTTAATATTTTTTGGTTTTTCACTAAGCTTGATTATTATTATTCCTATCTTTGAATCTCTGTCCCTACACCAAGCCTTTAGTTATAGGGAAAAGCCTTATCAAGCCTTCTCCTTCAATTATTATATCCTTTCAAATAGAGACACAATGTAGTGGAGTAGCTACATTGTGGGATTAAGACTGTGAGGATTGAGCTTGGATCTGCTTCTAACATCTTATCCATTCTTAATGATGGCAACTCACTGGGATGACCTATGACCAGTTATTTTCTCTCTTATCCCAATCTACCTCACACACCTGTTGTTCTAGCAATAAGACTGGAGAAGACAGAGAAATACATAAATAAAATACTACCTTCTCAACTGTTAACAGATTTCACTGCAAAGATTTTTGAGCATCAACAATTGGACAAAATCCCAGGATACCACAGGTGGTTTCTACAATGACCTGCACTTATTCATGAGAGGTGATGGATGAACTATTTTGGTCTAGTTCTGACCCTTTGCAAATTGAGGGCAGAGTCTTGGTTACTCGTCCCTAGCCCAAACAAGTATTCAGAAAAACATTTCATCTTTCAAATTGTTTGTGAGACAATATTCTCACAGGAGGGAAAAAAAATCAGTCAAGTTTCCAAAACCATTCCTGTCACATTGGTGACTTTTGATTATACAGTATATTAGTAATGGGACAGACACAATAGACTGGAAAAGGATCAATAGTCAAGGGTTCAACTAACACAGTTGCTTGTGCTACCTTTACGATAATTTCTGAAGTTCTAGAGGACTTCAGGGTGAGAAGTTGCTTAGCAGAAATGGAGGGTGCTGTGGATTTAGGGAGCTCATATCACTTGCTGTGAGTGTAATATTTGCTGCCCAGTTCTTGCAAGATTTTAAACGAGCAAAAATACAGTGTCTGGGCTCCAACCACCCCTTCATTTAAAACAAATATCTGCATGACTGTTACACAAAATACTACCAAATGTAGGGATGTACTATATGCTAAGACTCAAATTTTCAGTAATTTGTTACTTTTTAAAAAAAGACCAGTAAATCCTGTTTATTGATATGCCTTTGTTTCTGTTGTATCTGCTCTGAGTTAACAACTCAGAAATATTTAGTCACTTGAAGGTAAAAAATTGCAAAAGCTGAAACTATGACCATAGATTTAAAAATGCCTTTGTTTCTTAAAACAAAATTTAGCCTGAAGCCTAGATAAATGACATCCTCAAGAGTTTTGTCCTGCAGGTCTTCTCAACTGATCATCAATTACCAGATATATTAAAATAATTCATATTAATTTTGCAGTATGGGTTAATTGAATTCTACTCTAACTGAACAACAGTTGGATAGCCGAACATCTGATTCTCCTACCATTTTCTGGTCTGCCTCAAATGATTTGGCTAACCAGAGATTATTGTTCTTTCTCATGGGCAATGCTGCATCTAAGTTATTGCCGTTGTCAGATGGCCTTCACACATGAAGGTGATGTGTTGTACCGCTACAGGTTGGAAGAGAATGACTACAATACCCTCTGAAGTGCTACAGAGGATTGCTTATACTTACCAATCTTTCTCACATGTAGACCAGGCTTCTCCCATCTGTTAAATTTGTTTAGATATGTGTTGGAAACTGATAGAGTGTTTGGTATTTTCTATACTATTTGGGAATGAGTAGATTAGGATATAAATTAGAACCCACCATGTTTTGAGCTTTCAATGAAATTTGTTTACTCTTTTGCTGGACTGGTTTATTTTGGAGCCAGCAGAGCATCTCAAGCAATGCCCCAGATGCCAATTTCCATTTAGGGGGCTGCTGTAATAATGAAAGTTACATAGCTTCTCCTGCCTTTCTTCCCACTATCCTTTCCTTTCCTATACTTTGCTTTCCTTACCTTACTAGAAGTGTCAGCAGAACATAGATCTCTTCCCTATCAGATTGGGGAAACAACAACCTCTCCCATTGAACATTTTGGCTTGAAATATTAGAAAGGTCTACAATACTGTCTTCCACCCAAAGCAGAAACACAACAAAAACAACACCCAAATGTATTGCTACCCAAGCCTCTACACCTGTTTCTTCTTGTGTATGAGCGTGAAAAATGAATTTCATCTGAAGGCCACCAGATTCTTATACACAAAACATAATTCTATTATGTCTGGCAACACCATGATGGAACACAAGTTTATGCTGCACAAAAGTACACACAAAATAGTATGCACATATTTTGAGGACAGACACACACGTACATACATGAGCAAGAATGTATATTTTGATTAAGGATCTTGGAAATAGACATTCTTAGCAAATATGGATGACAGATCAATTGTAATTTATTTTCTTTTAACACTGTATCATCATAAAGAAAACTGGTATAAATGAAAAAAATCTATTTCAAATATCTACATCTAAAATTTTAGGCAGTGAAAAAGCACTTTGTTGACAAGGAGTGTGGAATGATGAATGTTAATTGTCAGAAACTGCTGAATGCCTTTTTTTTTTTAGTTGCCACAAACAAATTCACATATCAGAACGAACAATACTGCTAAATATCAGTTTTTGTTTTCTCCTGTTAAAACATACTGGGGAAAAGAAAAAAGGAAAAGAAAAAGAAAAAAGAAAAAACCCCACCCCTACCCTTGGAAATTCATACATATTTCAAAGTTGTGTAATTGAAGCAATATTTAGAACCATAGATGAAGAAACACTGTGGCATTGATGTAATATACACAATGCACTTTGCTCTCTCTTTCTCTCTGGTTTTTAAATCTGTAATGTACATCAAATACTTTACAACAATGCATTAACAAAAGGCAAGAAACATCTTGCTGTACAGAGGAAATCCCAAATGCAACTTGAAGCCTAAATTCACAATGGATGAAGAGAGGAAACAAAGGGTGAGAAGCTGTCCCCCATAAGGTTTGTAAACTGTTCATTTTCTTGTGCTTAACTCTGGACTCACTTCAGTGGTTGTAACTTCCCTAACTTCCTTCAGCCACATTCAGTGTACAGTACTATTTGTTTTAAACTCTACATTACAAGGTCAACTGCAAAGCTGCCCTCCCCCCAGTATATTTCTATATCTATATTTAAGAGATAGGATTCTATAGATACAGAAATAGATACACATCCCACTCTTTCTAATAACACTCCCACGCTTAGTTTCCCATTCTTTTAGCCATCTAAAGATACCTTAATTGTTCCAGACTGAATATTAGGGCCTTCCTACGGAACAGGCTTTAACAAACTAAATTTGCAGGAAAAGAATGTCTTGTGATATGCATGCACATGCACAGTTCCTGGCCCTCTTCTTTTTTTCTTGCCCAAATCTCAAACCCAGGAATCTGGAGAGGCTGGATAGTGGCTTGTTTCATAATTGAGTTCACTATAGGGCCGAGCAGCAGAATAGAAATCAACGTAGTTGCCAGTGGACTTGAGTCCCAGGTGCATATTGTACTCGCTGGCAGGTGGGCGATGATGCACTTGGTCTTCAAAGAAGGACTCATCATAGTTTCTTGATGAATTTTGAAATGGCTGATATGGTTCGTATTCCTTTCTTGTGGGCTCCTGTGGGACCGGCTGTGTTGAAACCTGTCAACAGAATAAGAAGTCTTGGCTTGTTAGGGAAGACTATAATGATGGGAAACAAACTGCCATGTCACTTATAGTGCAGAACAAGGTTCCACTTCAGTGGGACTTATTAGACAGACAATGTGAACATTACCGACATTTCAGCTGCTACAGAAAACATCTTAGTCTTCCTGGATGAATGTCACTGTTCTGCTTGATCTTTCTCCAAAGATTGCTCTATATTTGCATTTGCAACCACTTTTAACAGAGATTTGCCTCAGAAAAGGGGTAAAATAGACTTCACATTGAACTTTTACACATATGATTTATGGGTGGAGGATCTCAGATTGCAGAATGTGAACAATATTAGGAATGCTTGTCCATTGGTAAATTCATATATTTAGAGACATATTTATTTAAATTATTTAAATCTTTAAATTCATATTTAAAGAGACATCTAGACTCTTTCAGGATAAGTCTCCTCACTTTAGACCATCTGTACACTTCCCAACCTCACATCCCTTTGTAGGCCCTGATCTATATTATTGCTACTACTTATTTCATCCTCGTATGTCACATAACTCTAAAGCTGATAATAAGAGAAGTTCATAAGGTATTGTATAAAAATGCAAATATGGTAACTTAACCCATTCATTTTTGTTCCTGTTTCTTGTTTCCTGCTTATCAGTTTGCTTGCTTGTTTTATAATTTGTGATTTTAGGAAATAATTATTCTTTTAGAAGAAAAATCTATTTTTTTGTAATTAAAAAAATTACAATCATATGGAATTTGAAATATAAGAAAGTGGAAACTAAGGTTTTTGAAACATTAAAAAAAATATCCTGGCTGCATGCTAGCAGTAATGGTTTCAGACCAGAAAGCTACTTACAGAAATGTTTAGTCCACAGTCACATGGAATACTCATCCCAAAGGTCATACCCTGGACAAGGTAACATGACTGTCTTTTAAGTAGGAGGTGAGAGCTAGTTTGGTATAGTGGTTAAAGGCTCTTGAGCTAGAAACCAGGAGACCATGAGTTCTAGTCTTGATCTAGGCATGAAGCCATCTGGATGTCTTTCTGTTAGCCCTAGAAACAGGCAGTGGCAAGCCACTTCTGAAAATGTTCCCAAGAAAACTGCAGGGACAGGTCTTAGCAGCTACCTAGAATCAAGACTGACTTAGAAAAGTAGGAGATTAAATACATAATCCACTATGTGTCTTCATTTACATAATTATAGCCATTTTTTTTAATTGTGAAGGAATTTACTCATTGAAAGCTAGTAAACTGAGTCTTTAAACTACCACAAAACAATCTGTCACTGAAAGCTGTTTTCACAAATATGTCATTACTGTTTACCATTTTCATGAAAATATATTTCTAATACTGATTTCTATCTTTCACTTTCTCACATTCTTCTCAACAGAATCCCATCAGCAACTTTCTGAGTAATGGAGCTCCCCTAGCCTCATTTTTCTTTTACATACATATATGCCACAGAAAATGTAAAAAACATATATTAGAGATGTTTAATTATATTGCCAGGAGACTACTTCAGATGATTTCAAAACTACTTTTTGAAAATGCCCAGCTTTCACTCTCTTTTATTTGCAAATAAAGACATATGCTTACAAATATAATAATGAAAATGTTTCTGCCATGTACTGATACATCTGAATAATAAAGCTGCTTGGTAAATAGTTGAATATAAGTTGCATTTCCATAATTTACTGATAAATATAACATTTACCAGGATAGACTGGGAAAAGTTCGTATCTGTGAAACGTTGAATAGTTTTTCAACTATGAGTCTTTAAAATTATTGCAGCTATATTAATCGATTTTTTTTTAAAGGGAATAAGTTGAATTACCACTTACTTGGTTGTGTTTGATATCTTCAGCAGGTGCACCGTAAGAATTTCTATACAAAGTAGAGATTCCAGAGTTCTGACCTAGAATTGGGAGAAATAGGGATTATATTACTAGACAAAATGGCAAATACGTGTGTGAACTAGTAGCAGTGGTAGGGCAAATTCAATAAGCCTTTATTAGCAATGATTTACTGATTCCCACATGAATCATCTATAAGAAAGAACATATGAGGCTTCCGGGTGGCTCTGCAGGACTTAGCTGACGTCCCTCCTTGGACGTCTGATCCCCGGTCTCGTAAAAGCCCCAGAACAACCGAAAAACAGCTGTCTGGGGCTTGAAAACCCTCTCCCCGGGCAAAGGGGAGGGAGAAGAGCCGGCAGGCAGAGGTAGAGCCCCCCAAGTGCCTTAGGAGAAATCCTGGGGCGCGAAGGGCGAGGGCTCCCTAGAAGCCTGCCAATCTGCTCCGGACCTGGGAAGACTCCGCTAATTAGCGGGCTAGAAGCCGCGACCATTTCTGCTGACAACAGATGAGGGATTTTTAACATCTTTAATTGCTGCAGGCAGAACAAGCCAGGAGAAGTCAGACTGCAAGTATTTACACTTAACTCCAAAGCTTATTGCTTCCTTCGGAAGTAACAAGTTAGCAATTTGTATCAAAATGGCGATTGAAACCTGAAAGGGAGGGGCGGAGAAAGGGAAAGTTACAAAAAGTTTCATTTCCCTGGCAGCCTCTTGCCTGGAAAGAATTGCTGTGCTGAGAGAAGGAGGATGTTTGTGTGTCTATATTTTTCTTGACTGTACACCGCCTTGAGTCCTACGGGAGAAAGGCGGTATAGAAATATAATAAATAAATAAATAAATAAATAAATTTTAAACGTTAATTTACGATTGGGAAAATTCTTGGACTTTGATGATCTTTTCTTTTTGGCTTCTGAATAAAATATAACAATTAATTTAAACTGAAAATGGCCTCAAAATCTGTAAAGACTGTTCCTATTAAAGGAACGGGAAGTGCTGGCAGCTCCCCAGCTCACATTCCTAGATTGCAAGCTTCTGCCCCTCCAGCAGATCCACAGACTTTAACGTTGGAGATGTTACAACAAGCCCTCCCAAGTTACACAAGAGAAACTTGCTATTGTGATTAATGAAAAAATTAAGGAAACCAATGAAAAAATACAGGTTGTGTCAGATGAGATTGCAACTCAGAATCAGCAAATTAGGGATGATATTATAAAGACATTTAAATGTTTGGCAGGCAATATTGAAATGGTGGATGATAAAGTTGAAGAAGTTAAACAATCTACGGTAATTTTGGATAATAAATTAGCAGAAGCTCAGAATAGAATTCAGAGGGCTGAAGATGATGTAGCTATGATACAATACAGAGATATGGAATTTGCTTTAAGATTTAGAGGGGTGAAGGAGAACAAACAAGAGAACTTGAGAGAAATGATGTCTGAGGTATTGGCACCGTTGGTGGGGGAGTCAAAAATGATCTGGGCTGGCAGATTGACAAGCTGTATTGCGTTAATTCTTGGGTTGCTAGACAGAAACATTTACCAAGAGACATTGTGATATATTTTACTACAAGGAGAGTACGTAATGAAATTCTACAGGCCACTTTTCAAAACAAACTTCGGGTTGAAGGCCAGGAAGTGATGACAATGAAAGAAATCCCCCCTAAGATCTTGAGGGCCAGAAGGGAGTATGCTTTTCTGGTGGATGAACTGAAAAAACGCCAGATACAGTATAGATGGGAGATGCCAGCTGGATTAATAGTGACTTACTCAGGAGAGAGGTATCGGCTTAATACAATATGGAAAGCAAGAGATTTTTATATTAATGTATTAAAGGCTGGCACACCCAAATCACCAGAAGGCAAAAGAAAGAAGGATGTGATGGAAGGTGAAAAAGAAGAGCTCCTGACAGTAGTTCAGGGGGGAGTTTTGATAGGCCAAGGAGAAGAACCATTACAAATTCAGATGGCTATTCAAGAGTTGGAGTTAATTGATTTAGAGCAACCCAAGGATCAAAGATAGACCAGATCAGTGACAGCTAGGCTCAAAGAAGTATCAAGACAGCAACAATTCCAGATGGCAACTCAAGGAACAATTCAAGAATCTACCAAAATAGAAGCAGTGGGAGGAGCAAGACCCAAAGGTCAATTGAGACAAGACCACCAGAATCTGCTCCAGTTGCTTCAAGGGCCCAGAGATGGGAACTAGATTTTTGACGTGGAATGTTAATGGTTTGAATTCTCCACAGAAAAGAAGAAAAATATTTCATTATCTCAAACAATTTAAAAATGATGTGATTTGTCTACAAGAGACTCATATAAGAGTACAAGATCAAAAATACCTGATAAATGCAAGACTTGGTACACACTACGTAGCAGCAGCACCAGAAAAGAAAAATGGTATAGTTATATATCTGAAAAGAGACTTAGTTGCTAAATTAATTGAAGCAGATGACCAAGGAAGATTCTTAGCAATAGAACTTTTAATTAAAGGAGAAAAAATACTTGTAATTGGAATCTATGCCCTGAATCAACAACAAGAAAATTTCTACAATTTACTACACTCGAAGTTGACACAATGGGCATATAAAACTTGTATCCTGTTGGGGGATTGGAATGGGGTCTTGGATATTAAAAAAGATAAGAAGGGACCTAAACAAAATGTTTTAACAAGAGCAAAACTGCCCAAAGCGTTTTGGGAGATGATGGATGATTGGGAGCTGAGGGATATTTGGCGTGAAAGAAATCCGGAAGAAAAAGATTTTACTTTTTTCTCAGACAGACATCAATCCTTTTCAAGGATTGATTTTATACTAATTACTAATGATCTTTTATCTAGGGTGAAGAACACGAAGATTTGCTCAAGAATATTGACAGACCATAGTCCAGTTTGGTTGGAATTGGAGTGTGGGAAAGGGTCTAGGAGGTCCTGGAGGTTAAATGATAACTTGTTTAGGTATGAAGAAAATATAAAAGAGTGTAAAAAATTTATGAAAGAATTTTTTGTTATGAATATGCAAAAGGGTACATCTATGGAAATGGTATGGGATGCAAGTAAAGCATATATGCGAGGAATTTTGATATATTTGAATAATAAGCATAGAAAGAAACAGGGGGCAAAAAGAAAAGAATTAGAAGATGAGATTAGTAAACAGGAACAGGCTTTAATAGTCAATCCAACAGATAAGAAAATTAAAGAGGCCATCAATTTATTGAAAGGTCAATTTAACATGTTGATAGCAGATCAAGTGGCAACTAATTTACGATATGCAAAACATAATACTTTTTATAATCCCAATAAACCAGGCAGGTGGTTAGCATACCTGTTAAGGAAAAAGTAAAAATCAAGGACAATAGAGAAAATAAGATATAAGGGTAAGGAGGTTTATGAGCAACAATTGATTAAAAAATCTTTCTTAGAGTTTTATTCGAGGCTGTATACTGGTGATAAAATTAAAGATATAGATATAGATAGATATTTGCAGAAAGAGAATATTTATATAATCTCAAATGAGCAGAGGGATAGCTTAAACCGAATGATAACTTCCGAGGAAATTGTGTTAGCAATTAAGCAGTTGAAAGTGGGTAAAGCCCCTGGGACGGACGGTCTGACAGCTATTTATTATAAAACTTTACAGGAGGAAATGGTGGAACCATTGAAAGAATTATTTAACAATATACAACAGGGAGGAGAGGTGCCTCCAACTTGGAAGACAGCATTTATCTCGTTGATCCCAAAAGAAGGGCATGACGATACAGATCCTAAAAATTATAGGCCAATTTCATTACTGAACACAGACTATAAGATTTTTGCTAAAATTTTAGCAAATAGATTAATGACAGTTATGCAGCAAATGATTCACCATGATCAAACTGGTTTTATAAATGATAGACAAATGAAGAGTAATGTAAGGCAAATTGTTAATTTATTAGAGTATCTGGGAAGGAACAACCAGGTCCCCGCAGTGCAAGTGTTTTTGGATGCTGAAAAAGCCTTTGACAACTGAATTGGCAATTTTTATTAAAATTAATAGAAAAGATGCAATTTGGAGAACAATTTATACAATCTATTAAGGCAATATATCAAAAACAAACAGCGCAAATAATAGTTAATGGTGGCTTAACAGATCCTTTTAATATAGAAAAAGGAACAAGGCAAGGTTGTCCCTTGTCTCCGTTATTGTTTGTGTTGACGCTGGAAGTTTTACTAAGTAAAATACGTGAGATGGACACAATAAAGGGAATTAAAATTAGACAGCATGAGTATAAGTAAGGAGCATTTGCGGATGACCTGGTTGTTACCTTAACCCAACTGGTACAATCGATTACAGCCTTGATGGATATAACCTGCTTATATGGACAAGTATCTGGTTTTAAAATAAATGCAGCCAAAACGAAAATAATAGCTAAAAATATGGTCAGAAGCCAGAAAGAAGAGATAGAAAGGTTAACAGGATTTGAAGTAGTTAAGAAGGTTAAATACTTAGGGGTTTATATTATGACTGCAAATATGAAATTATATCAGCACAATTATGAACCACTATGGCACAAAATACAAAAGGAGATGGAAAATTGGAAAAAACTACAATTGTCTTTGCTGGGAAGGATAGCCGCTGTAAAAATGAATATTCTACCAAAATTTTTATTTCTTTTTCAAATGATACCTATACTTAAAAAAGATGAAAATTTGAAGGAATGGCAGAAGGGCATAAACAAGTTTGTGTGGGCAGGGAAGAAACCTCGAGTTAAACAAAAGATAATGCAAGATATCCGAGAAAGAGGTGGTCTTAAAATGCCCAATTTAAGATTGTACTATGAAGCCGCTGCCCTCTCAGCAATTACAGACTGGATAAATTTAACGGAGGAAAAGATATTGAATATTGAAGGATATGGTTTGGTCTACGGCTGGCATGCTTATTTAGTCTATGACAAGAAAGTAGATAAGGCTTTTAAAAGTCATATATTAAGAAATTCTCTATTGCGGGTCTGGAAAAAGTGTAAATATAAACTAAGTGATAAGTTACCAATATGGACAGTACCCAGACACGCGATAGAGAATATAAA